AAGGTGAGCCCGAGAGACTGGCGCTGCAACCAGCCATGAAATTCTCGCGCAGCACTTTGAACCCGCCGCCAGCTCTCCGAGACCCACTGACGTTGGTGCACCTGGTAGATCGAGAGCAAGGCGGCCGTGAGCGGCGGCCGCACCGACACGTCCCCGGTAAACTCAGAGTAATACAGAGCCGCGACAGGGTCTAAAGGCGGCGGCGCCGACCTCGGGAGACGGATAGGGCCCGCAGCAAGCGGAGGCATGGCAGGGAGAGGATTACCAGGAAAGACCTGCGGTGATCATAGAGCCGAGGCGTAGGACGCACTAAGCTGACGGACGTCCATCGAAAACAGACAAAACGTACCAGCGGCAGGTGTAACGGCGGGACGATGAGATCGTCACGCACAGGCGTAACGGTAACGAATCGATGAGTAGACGAAGTAAGTGGGTCTTGGCCCCACGGTAAGCCGCCAGGTACGAGAGGAAACATAATGCTAACGGGTACTCGCGATAACACGATTACTCGATTCAGGAACACGGAAAATTATTACAATAAAACGGGGCGCGATCGCGCTTCCAAAAAAAATTTGGATATCACCGAAAAGGGCCTAAATTCGTTCGTGCGTGGTGCGTGGGGCTCGCTTAGGCGGAGAGCGTTACAAAGGTTGTAAGTGAGCCCTTCGTATCATACGGATGCTCGCCCCAACTAATCCGGCCCTTACGGTGGCGGGCTCTTTGACTTCAGAAATAAATAATAGATGAATAAATAAAGCTGAACCATGATATCTATTTCCGCTTTATTTATTTACTTATTTATTTACTCTGTTTTAAATATGTTATTATAGATTAGTAATGCGCCTCAGCCTAATAAGCTAAGGCGTGCATTAGGGTGCCGGGGTTGTAGAGGTTATGGGTTTTCCCAGGCCTTTGCACCTCCTGTCACCGTATTTTTACTTTTTTCATTATGTAGTCAGCAGCAGCAGCAGCAGCAGCAGCAGCAGCCGCCGGCAGATCAGCAAGCAGCTGCAGCAGTGGCCATGGCCCGGGCCCTTTATCGCCAGGGTTTGCGGCAGCTTCCCTGGTGCCAGGACCCGAATGCAGGGTCGACTGGCTGCCGGGACTCGGGGCGTACGAGTCGTCCGGCCTGCCGGCACCCGCACGCAGGGGCCGGCCGTACTTTTATAACGCCCGTCTCAGGTGGGTGGGTGGGTGGGCGACGTGGGTGTGGGTGTGGTGCGTACTTCGTGATTTGGGTTCAACTAGTGGTCGTGGAAAAAGGCCGCAGGGCCGCAGCGCACGTGTCGCAACGAGGCCTTGTGACTTTTGGGCAAAATAATGACATTTGGTGTTTTACCCCCCTTCCCCCCGTGTATGCTGCCCCCTTACCTATCCCCTCTGGCCGTTCCCCCTTAT